TTCCTGTGTAGCTGTTTCACAATGCATTATGTCTACATTATTTTACACCTCCAATTAACACCCTTTGTTTACTGTCATACAAACAAAAGCAACGGCAGCTGCAATCTGGCCGCCTGTGATAATTAATCAGAGGTGCAGCTGTGGAAATGAAGGAGCTACTGTGTGCTGTGATTACAAGAAACCAGTTGTATTGTTATGCATCGGGGTTCGTGTTGGCCCCAGTGTATTAGTGAATTGTTTGGATATTTCTTAGATTTTTTTTTGTAATCGGTCGATATAAGCATACAAAGTGAGTATCGGTATCGGCTAATTTTAACGCAGATTTGCGCCGATATTACTAGATTTATTCACCAGTCTAATATCATTTCATTTGAGTTTCATTTCTCACCAGCAGTTCTCTGTCTGGCTGTAATCAGGGGAGCGTGCAGCGTAGATCACAACAGGCATCATCACTCTGCAGAGTGTGAAGTGGTGATGCACATACAAGCGCAGCTACTTTCCATTCGAGTACCCATCACAAGTGTTTGTATATCTTTATCTATCTCCACAGATTGAAGATAGAACCAAGAAAGATATCGGCCGACATATTGGTGTCTGATTTTTTTCTATCCCTAATATCGATATCGCTCCTAAAAATCCCATATGGGTCTGGCCCTAGACATTTTTCTTCTCTTCAACTTTTGTTTTTTCAGGATTATTGGGATAATGGGAGATAGGATGAGGATAGGTTCATTTACTCTCAGTTAGGTAAGAAGATACCTGACAGTGATCGCTCATTCATATATATGCCTCTTTCTCTCTGAGGGATGTGAATGAAGTGAGGGTGCAATGTGTGTGTGTGTGTGTGTGTGTGTGTGTGTGTGTGTGTGTGTGTGTGTGTGTGTGTGTGTGTGTGTGTGTGTGTGTGTGTGTGTGTGTGTGTGGTGTGTGTTGTGTGTGTGTGGGAACAGCCTTGTTTTGTCTGCGCTTTGACGTCACCCAACCTCCTAACAGCCGCTATCAGAGCGAGCAGGTGTCAGCTCGGTGTGTGTGTTTGTGTGTGTGTGTGTGTGTGTGTGTGTGTGTGTGTGTGTGTGTGTGTGTGTGTGTGTGTGTGTGTAATCGGAGTGATCTGATCTTGTACAACACAGTCCACCTTGATCTCCAGGGACAACCAGCGCTATGATCACTTGTCACTTGTAAATGACGGGTGAGGGGGAGGTGGGAGACAAAGAGAGAAAGACAGAGGGGAGGGGGGGAGGGGGAAAAAATGTTTTTTATTTAAAAGGAGTGAGAAAAAACCAAGAGGAAGACAACCCGTTTTGCCGTCCTGTTTGCAGCTGTGAGCGTACCATGGTGTTCTCGAGGGCTTGTTGGTCTCGTGGCAGATGGGCGTCTTGTCAAATGTGCTGCGTGCTGAGGGGCTCGAGGGTTTTCTGCATGGCAGCGCTCATATATTGGCGTGATGAAGAACTCATTCACAACAGCCTCCCTCCCCTTGAGGAGTCTTAAACACACTCAAAGCACAGCTGTGCACACCATAATGCACAGGGACAAAACAACCACTGAAAGAATGGAAAACTTAAGCTTTGCTGTGCTGGTGGACTGTATGACAAGGCAACCAGGCGTGGAGTCTATTTCCCAGGTAGGCCGGTGAGTCACATGGAAATGATTCAATGCATAGAGTCCCCCTGACTGATGGAAATGTAAGGCTTTGACGGATATTAGAATGAAATGTTGAATCAGCAGAATGAGGTTAGCAGAGCAGTGTTAGCACATATTGGATCATTCATCAACACTTTCTTTCTTGTAATGCCCGCCGATGGGAAATTGTAGTTTAAGATTCCTATTTGTTATAATTTGCACACTTCCATTTCACTTTCAGAGAAATTAATCACAACAATTTTATTCCCTACACATTCACACACTGATGGCAGAGGCTGCTTTGTAACCATCAGATAATACACATTCATACACACTCATACACCGCTGACGAAACATCGGAGCAATTCAGGGGGTCAAGTGTCTTGCCCAAGGACACATCTGACATGTGCAGGAGCTGGGGATCGAACCCTCGACCTTCCAGTTGAGAGACGAGCGACTCTACTAACTGAGCCACAGCCGCCCAAAAAGAGTTAAAAAAAAAAAAGAGAACAGACACTAGACTTAGACTTAGAAACATTCTTGTGTTTCTTTGTGTCACATTCATTAATGAATAGATTTGGTGAGTCAGCACAACAATTCGATAGAATGTAAACGTCAATATTGTGAGACAAAAGTGTTCCTCAGCCTCCAAGATTGTTAAATGCTGTAAGCGACCCGAGAAAAGTATCCTCCAAAAACATGCTCATATAAGACTATGCAGTATGTCAGGAAAAACTAGCCGCCATGAAGTGACTTAAAACAGCCTCCTTATGCTCTTGAGTTCAATATTATATGCCTTTAGGAGGCCTTACAACAAGATGTATTTAGATTTGTATCAGCTGCAGATCCCCTGATTATTGTAAAGCAAGAAATGGCAGAAGAAGGGGAGAGGGAAAGAGAGAGAGGGAGGAAGGGAGGCGATAAGGAGGACAGATGTTCACTCTAATGTGACACTGGCAAAGCTGAACGCAACTCCACAAAAGAGTCAACACAGCGGTTCAGGCAGATTACCTCGCAACAGGCTCATCTTCATTCATCACCTGGCTTGTCCTGCTGATGCTCACACACAGATACACACTCATTCATGGCTAAATGTCATTTAGTACTTTGAATATTGTATCACCTTGATTGTCATTGGAGATCATCAGTTTTTATGATGCAACTAACAACTAAATTTGAAATATTGTACTCGTAGCCAAGGCGCTGCATGAATAAATACAAAGATTGCCAATGTTACACTTGACAGATTCAATCACATTACCATCGCAGTGTGATTTTCTGCAAATGAAGGCGATCAGTTAGCTGTACCTGTCGTTAATGGGATCCCAAAGGTAAAATAACCGATATCACACTGACTGTCGTTTTGATGCAGGATATATTTTGTTCTGTTTCTTTCCTTTGTCCAATCTGAGCACAGCGATGGCAACAAAATGAGTCTCACTTCAACTCAGCTTCCCAGATGTTTCTTAGAGGTAGGCATGTAATGAAACAATTACAGGTAATAACTGAGAAATGAAAGGCTTTGAAGTGGTGAAGTGGGCTTGTCGTAAGGAGCACTTCTTAAGCCTGTGAAAATGACATTAAAAGAGCTCCTTCTGCTGTGGATAGAGCTCTCTACAGTCAAAAAACACAACAAAGCAAAAGGGTTTTGTAGCCTGGGCGGCAATTTTCTTAATTCAAACCAAGGGTATAGGACAGTACACAAGATATTGATAGCTTAAAGGTGCACTCTGGAGTTTTGGTAGAGAAATGTGAAAGTTGGAGAAATGTACAGATCATGTTCTTTATGTTCATAACTCTATACACAAACTGTCCTCAGAGGAAAAGATAAAATGCTACGCGAGAAGTTATGGTGGTACCCATTTTTGCCTTTGACTAAATTTGTGTATTCAGTTCAGAAAATTTAGCATTTGAACTATTGAACTTTGAAATGTTACTACCAAATTGAAATAGTGCACATTTAAATTATAGATGCTAGGAGGTACAGAATGGCTGCAAAGTTTTGGTTTATAATAACACACAACTCTGCATATTTAAGGCGTTCAACCTTCACAACAGGGCCCAGCGTCTCTAACTAGACTTTTTTCATCTGTCGCCCCCTGGTGGTGGAATGAACTACCGAACTCCATTCGATCTGCAGCACCCTTTGCACCTTTAAGAAAAAGCTAAAGACCCAGCTCTCTACGACCTTAATAATGATGATGACGATGATGATGCTGCTGATTAGTACTCTCAAGGGCAGCTGTCAATGTTGTTGTTGATGAAGACATAATAACTTTAAAAAAAAGTGCTTTGCCTCTGTGCACCAGAAGATAGAAGGTTACAGTATCCAGTAAATGATCTCACACGATTTTTCTTTCTCTGGTTGTTTACAGAGGAGCGTTTTCAGAGGTGGTGCTGGCCCAGGAGAAGCTGAACGGCCGGATGTTTGCGGTGAAGTGCATCCCGAAAAAGGCCCTGAAGGGGAAGGAGAGCAGCATCGAGAACGAGATCGCCGTGCTGAGGAAGTGAGTCCTGTTTGACAAACACGCACGCACATGAGCCTCCTAATTCCCGGTTACCGGGGCAACTGTACATCTCCTCTCTCTCTTCCTAACATCACAACCCCTCCTCCACCCCCAGGTCACGATCAGCAGCCCACCTTCCACACAGAGCCACATCACGACTGAAACTTGTGTCTGTCTGAGCGCAAAACAGCTGCACAAAAATCACAAGAATCATGATGTGAATCCTGTTTGGATTCTGCGCTCTTTGTCTGAGTTTTAAATGAACATGTCGAAGGTCTAGTCCGAGGACAGACAACATTTGGATTTCTAAAATCTCTGGGCAGGAAGAAAACACACAGATTTGCTGATTTATTTGTTTTAAAGAAGCGCAACTAAATTAACTTGTTGTAAAAGATGTGAGAGAAGAAATGAGAAAACACAAGAGTTAAAGAAAATCTTCTTTACTGCTGAACAAAAAGAGTGGTTTTACATAATGCGCAAACACTTTGTTGTTTGAGATGTCAATGGAAGAGAGATTCATTCTAACCAGAGAATCATTTAAATCACAATCAGAATCAGGTTTTATTGCCAAGTACATTTACACATACAAGGAATTTGTCTTGGTGTATTGGTGCAGAAACAGTTAACAAAGTAAATAAAGCAAAAATAGCAAGAACTTAAATAATGAAATATAGCAATTACAAATATATATAATATACTATTTAAAAATGTAAAAATGTAACAAACAAAAAGTATAAAATGTGCAATGAAGGAGCTATGCAGTTGAAAATCAAACAAATCTTACAGTGTATATAAATCTACTCACAGAGTGCATGTAAAGAAAAGATATTCAAAGTCCAGTGAGCGTTAAAAAGCGTTGAAAAGCGTTGAAAAGCGTTGAAAAGAGCGTTAAAGCTTGCATTATGTACCACACAATGTAATACTCACAGACTGTTATTTAAAAAAGTGCTGTGTTCTTTCTATGGCCTGCAGGGGGCGACTAGAATGGTTGCAAAAAATTAGATTCTTTGGAAGTCACAACCAAACAAATCACCTACTCCTCACTTGATTTGTTCCCTAATTAAAACATTTTACTAATAAGTTAACGGACTCAAGTGCTGGTTTCAAGTCTTCTTCAACGGTGCACAATATTCATTTTTAAAATAGTGATCCCATAATGAACCAGCATGACACGCTTCAACGAGTGATCAAGGTATGAAGGGTGATAAACAGTGTTTGGATTAAACACTCATTACCCAAACTTTATGTGAAATAGCTGACAGTTACATACAGTAAGATTAAAGTTTATCCACTTTGACACAGCGAGCGAGGTTTACACTAAAGTCAGCGCAGTGCAAGGGGCAACCTCCGGTCTCGAAAAATGAAGCCTATGCGGAAGTACAAAAAACTGCAGTTCCTCGAGGTTCCGCTTGAGGCTGGCTGCAGAAGCGCCGGAAGTGCCATAAGCCCACAGCCAAAAAAGCCCGTTTTTACCACAGGAATCAACATGTTTACAGCCTGGTTCAAAAAACGAGATATATCTGAGAAGTTGACGGCCCCTTCTCCTCACACTGTGGGGGGGGTGAATTTTTTTATAACTCATCGGATTTTATTCTATTAAGGAAAACGACTATGCCCATATTTGGTTGTGTCAGATTTGATTGACAGCTGTGCGCGCTGCATCTGTCTGTCAGGTCAGCAGGTCAGGAGGCTAACAGCTTGATCCATCTGATTTCTCCTCTTTGTTACTTCGTTTGGAGAGTTTTTTAACACATATCTGACAACATACATGGCTTGCTGTGCGGTTAACAGACCATCCAACAAGTTGATGCTTCAGTTTTTTTCGGTAAGTGATATAGTAGTGTTATATTTACTGCTTACTCATGTGTTTATATTTACGGACCTAGCTTGTTTAGCGTTAGCTTGTAAACCAGTCGGCTAACTGTGTAGCTCATTATTTACATTATTTACATTATTTACGGTCAATGGTTTAGAAATGTTTGTTGTTAAGATGTTGTTGTTGAAAATAATGAGTTTGTGTGATGTTAGAAGCTTAAGGTTCAGCTCGGTGGTTAACCACAGACTGTAAATATGGTTATCTGACGTTTTGATGAATGTTATACTCCACGTAAATGTGGACATTAAAAACAAACTTTGTGTAGTAATTATCCGTCAGTAACATAAACTGAACTGAACCTAATATGCTGTGTAGGTTATAGAGGATGACATTAAAGTTACATGGTTGATGTAGTGTCTTAAGATTTGAGTAAACTGTTAACAAATAAAAAAAAATTCACTTTGTAAGAGCATTTGTAACCATTAAGAACTATATTAATAACCATATTAATTTTCACTGAACTCATACACAGAATATAGCAGTAGAAATATAAAATATAAATAACATATGGAATGAAAATAAGATTTAAAGCACATAGATATAAAGTATAAGAAATAGTTTGAAGACTACAGCCATGTACTGAGCTCATGTTAATAATAAATGAGTTACTGTATGTTCTGTACTAAAGCACAGAGAGTTGGGACCTGTTAATGATTTAAATAATTCAGGTTATATTTGTTTCATGTTAAGATGAAGTACTATCCACAATAAATTGCTTAATTTTTCCTCACAAAATCTGAGACAATTTAATGAGGAATATCATTGTGTGAGTGAGAGAGCTGAAAACAGCATGATTACAATAATGTTTATCTTCTTAACTTTGAATAGATGTTGATTACCTGAATACTGTACCTTTGTTGTCTGGGTAGTACACTGTTGAATTTATAAATGTGCTCTTACACACAGATGAATACAGAAAAATAGATGAGAACAAACAAAATGATTTCATGAATAACTGATATTTTCTCTCTTTCTTTTCCATCCTGAAGACCCCTCACTAAAAGTCCATGTTCTCCTGGATCCATGTCACATGCTCGAGCTTCTTCTGAATTACTTTTCAACAGTTAAAGTTCTGCTGAGAGAAGATGGCCAGCAGATAAGACAGCAGTACATCAAGGAGCTCCACAAGCTTCAGGAGGAGGAGGAGGGTTTGCACCTTGGAAGACTGTATTCATGCTGTTCAAATAAAACTAGATCTCCTCCAAACAACTTGCAATCAAACTATTTTCTTCCCATTTTAAAACCCTTTGTCCAGTTTAGATGGGAGAAGTTGATATTATGTGATATTGATCTGGGAAGACTACATTTCTAAATCATTTTTAACTGTGTTTTTATTCACCAGTTATTGATCTTATTTACTCTCCATGTATCTTGATTTAAGAATGGGGCTGTGTTTAAGGGCAAATTTTTGCAATGACTCTGTTCCATCCCACTTTCAGAAATGAACTGCATTAGTATTTATCAAAAGAGTAAGAAGTTGTGTAAAAGTAGACTTCCTTCCCTAAGCTATTGAGTTGAGCATTAATCTGAAATGTATACTCATAAGTAGACATAAAGGAGTGCATTTATATAGAAATATTTATTTAATCTGAAAAACAACATTAAAAAAAGTCTGTTTTTACAGCAGAGATGAACATGTTTACAGCTTGGTACAAAACAAACAAATAGGTGTGATTAGCTCATGTCTGGATGGACACACACTGTACGGGGGGTGAATGTTTTGATGACTCATCAGTTTTGATTTGATGAAGGATAAGAGTTATTCACAATAAGGCGTGTAGCTGACCAGCTTGACAGGCGGGTGCGGTGTAACGGTTTGTCAAGAGGCTTAAAACCCATCTCAGCTCTCAGCCTGTGGGTGACATCACTCAGACCTCCCTCACAGCGAGCTGTTGAAGAGAAGCAACCGAAGTCCACCCCAGAAGAACCAACAAATGCAGATGTTGTTGAGGCTCAGGTTTCTTCCTCTGTCTCTGCAGCTCTCTGGGCACCTCGACGGACAAGTCACCAATAATCCACACTGTGTCTATAGGAGAAATACAAAGGTGTTCAATTAATGCCTCAGACAAAATGTACAGTTAACTACATGTGACAGCTCAGGCTGTTTTTTTGTTATGAGCCACATCTGCAGGAATAATATTGAACAAGGTAGCTGCAACTCAGAATAATAGATGCCAGTCTTAAATACTATTTTTTCTAATCCTTAAAGTTTTTGGTGTGAAGCTGACACTGTCCACAGACTCCATGACTTCACAGGGTTCAATAGAAAACAAATGTCTTATAAAAATACTAAATAATTATTTTTCAGTTGTCATGTTCACCTCATCGCTGTTGACATCAGTAAATATAAAACACAGACATTCCTCTTTTTGTCACAACAGTAACATGAACTGTATGATTTGTAATATTGATTTCTTCTGGATGTCTCATATTTATTTACAGTCTATGGATAAAACTTTGTTCATGTATTTCTCTGCTAACACTGACAAAGTCTAACTTCTCTAACAAATAACTCATAAACATAATTGTATATTTAAAAAAGTGTAGTTTTAAGACTTTAATTAAATATTTGTGTTGAATATAATTAGTTTTAACTGTGTTGTAGAAAAGTTAAATGTTAACTTACTGTTTGTAGAGTTTTCTCAGGACGAGCAGGAATAGTTGATGATAGCAGCCTAGCTGTTAGCTATGCTGTGAAGTGGACTGCTAACGTTGAGCTGAATGGGCGGAGCTAAGTCCCGCCGGTCCCGCCTTACTGCTGTCGTTAGGTTGATCCGAAGTTAGGTTGAGACTGCAAATCCAATATGGATGCGGCCGTCGATTGGACTCATTTTCTGCCTATGTCACAGACGGGTCAGGGTTCGTCCAGTAATATTTACAGTCTATGGCGCAGTGGTCAGCATGGCAGACCAATGAGAATCCGCTCCTTACAAACAGACAAGGTTTGATTTTAAATCACTGCCAGCTCCACGATCTTCAAGCCAGGAATTTTCCCAAATAACTAGTTACTTTTATAATCCAGTAACTCACTCAGGAACTCAGTAACGTTTTGACATCAGTAGTAACTGTAACGTCACTGGTGATAATGGTGGTAAATAACTACATTTAAAGAGTGCATATGAGCTACAAGTTTTTAATGTCTGTCTTTGTCAAGATCCTGCTGATCACCATCGCCTACACAATACCTGTGTCATAAAAATGTTCTCTGTAAATCCTAAATAACTCCAAAAGCATTTTTATTTCTCCATCAAATCGGCACAAATTAAGCAGCAGTAGTTTGAGCTTCATCCGGCTGCATCAAAATGAGCGTAATAACAAAACCTCCTTTCAAAGTACAAATGTTGACCAGGAAAGTATTGCATGTGGCTAACTGTCACACAAACAGAGACAGAAAAAGACACCAATGAAGCAGATTTTGTGAAAATCCAATGTTAAACACGGATCAGTGTAAACAAAAAGGATGCAGCACAGGCAGCTTGGGGAAAAAGAAATGCCAGGGAGGATAATGTACTTCTTACATAAACTCATAAAATGAACAAACAAGGAGCCTTTTGGTCTCTCATTAAGCAGAAGCATGTTACCACACAATTACAGTACAGACATCGAGAAAAGGCTGGGCCTCTGCCGTGGCAATACAGATGTATTACGCTATCAAATACGATAGATTTATTAATGTGGCTCCATTAGAGAAAATTACAATTGCCTCCAGTAATGAAGAGCAATCATTTAGACAAATGAGTTTCATTAGTGTAAACAAAATGAGAGCACAAGTGAGCAGAGCAGAAGCTTCTAGCAGCTTGAACCGTGAGACAGCAGGTCGGCTGGTAGATGGTGGAGGTGCGGTGAGCGGGGGTGAACCCCAGCGCAGGACACTGACACGGGTTAAATAGGAGTAAAATAGGATCACAGTGTCTGAGAATCATGTTGAAGGTGGTGGGCAGAATCAGAGTGACAATGATAGAGCTGTGCCAGGCTAAACTAACAGAAGAGGGAGTGTGGGAGGCTGAACTTAGCAGGTAGAGAGGCAGGAAGCAAGCAAGCAAAGATAATCTGAAACCACGAGGGTAAAACAGTTTTAACATCGGCAAAAGGATTAACCCCCAAAAACTACAGAGGCTGGAAGTAGGTGACATGCTCGTGCTCAAGACTTCTATAAACTTGATATCACCCAAAAACAAATTTGCAAACTTATCAACTAACCACACACTGAGGATTGCTTCAAGACAACACGCGTTGTCCATTCAGGATGTTTGCCTTAATGAATATGCAAAATGGGGCGTTTCTACCCGAGTGTGCAAAAAACTGGGAGGAGGAAATATTAAAAAGTTAATTTGGTCCACTCATTGGGATTTAAAGGTCCCATATTATGCTATTTCTGGTTTTATATGCTCTTTAGTGTGTTTTCCAAGTGTCCTGTGCATGTTTAGGCACATCTATGTTCCAGCCCGCGGAAACGTGGCTTCTCCTACGTCCTCCTGTTAGCTGTAGCATTAGCTGCATGTAACGCTCGGTTCTAGCCCCCCTCGATAAAAATGTGTCAGTGCGGCGTCATTGTCAGTGTGAGATCAGTGATCGAAGCCCATTGGCTCGTTGTGGCAAGCCCTGCAGCTCATGTTGAAATTTCCGAGACGCGTGCTGAGCAACTGACCAATAACGACAGAGCAGATCGGCAGACCAATCAGAGCAGACTTGGGCCACGTGGAGTCTAACAGTGTGGGCTCAGCAGAGTGTAGCTGACGGACTCAGAGCGTAGAGGGAGCAAGGAGGAGCAGTATGAAAACAGACACTTTTTTCTGACTTTATCTATTGTGAATGTACAAAAGTAGATACATAGATTAAATATACCAACCCCAAAAGGGGCAGAATATGGGCTCTTTAATATGCCTGAAAAAAAAAATGGGTGATTGTCGCCAAAGACAGGAAACATTTGGTTAATACAACTTCTTATTCCAGCGCCACGTAAACATAGATGACCACAGCGACCTGGCACAGAACGGGGTAAAGAGCCCTGATTGAAATACTGCCAGGCTGATAAGCCCCTGGACGGCAGGTGGGTTGGCTCAGCAGGTGTACCACTTCATCCAGTTGCCAGGAAAATCAGTGAGGGATAATCACGCCTAAGAGACGGGCGCACAGGTCCAACCTTAATCTGGATCCTTAATTTACACCACATTATGTAGAGGAGGAGAGCAACACACCACCGAGGCATCTATCTCGTGCCATACTCTTAAGTATTTCTATATTTGTTGTTTCTTGGTGCATGAATCTCAACTAAAGGACCATTAACAGCTTTATGATGTATATCTGTGTACCAATAACTTTTCTTATGGAGACATTAAAAGTCATAGTGAGCAAAAGAGTTCATCTCTTTCTCTCTCAGCCTTTATTATTTCAATTTCCCACAATTCATTTAACCTAATAAATAATCCACAGTGTTCTTAAGACACTGTAATCATACTCTGGGTTAACAAATCACCCATTAAGAATTACATTATTGATAAATACTGATGTGAATTATGAATAAATGATGAGAGCTTTGCTCCAGTAGAAATGGTTCATGTTTCTTTAAACTAGACTCTATACATGGTATGAATATTAACTGGAAGTTGTTTCCCACATGTGCAGATGTTTGTTAGGCAGGTTGCAGGCCACAAAGGGAAAACACTGCCGCTCTGTCACTGATTACCGGTTGCCTGTATTAGTGTAATTAGTCAACGCCATCAAAAGTCTCCACACCTGTTAAACCTGACGGACAGCTGAGCTCGCTGGGATCAGCTGCTGACACATTCAGAACAGACAGTGTGTTAACATGCAGTGGTAAAAAGTTGATTTATTTTGTTACCCGACCAAAATATGGACTTTTAAAATACCTGTAAACATGTCCGTCTGAATGAAATCAAACACTAAGCTGAATTTTTTCAAAGTCGGACTTAAAACATCTAAATCATTCGGTTGGGAATCAATTCACTCTAACATGTATTCACCTCAATTTGACCCAGACTGAACTAGCTGTTATTCAAAGTTCACAGTTCAAACGCCGGGCCCAGAAGTCCCAAATATAAATGGGTAGCATAGCCGAAGCTGTGTCTGCCTTCAGATACCACCAGAAGCTAGAGGGAAAGCGTGCATTGCATTTGTACCAAAGGGAAAGCGTAGATTACCTGCAAAATGTACACCGCCGTAGAGTTAGAAAATAAAGTTGATCTTAATAACTTTATTTTTTAACTTTACGCCGTTGTTCTGGAGCTTTTTGACCTCAATTCCAGCAGCACGTTTATTTCATATTGTTCACAAAATAAGGGTCAAGCTTCAAATAAATAAAAGACAAATACCATGGCAGGAAAAAAAAAAACTCTTCAGTACTTTTGTTTCCCTGGAGTTCCTTGTTTCTATTCAGTATTTTTTTGGGGGGAGCCACAGATTGGACTCGAAACCCAGGCTGCCCACCTGGAGGAATCGCACATTCTCCGCACGTGGGGTGCGCGCACCAAGCACTACGCTACCAGTGCCCTGTTTCTATTCAGTATTAATTACCATTCATTTGCCAACATTTGATGTCCTCTCCTGTTCATCAATTAGTCAATGCACTTATCATGTCAGCATGCGCCACGGCTAATGTTGTATGAAAATCATTTGAAAATATGAGAAATAGAAAATCTCATAAAAAACCATTCAATTTGTCTGCAGCAGTAATCGAGGACACACTCAGGACAAATCCCTAATTGACAACAACAAACTGCAGCGTAATGCCTGTGATGGATGAGAGGCTTTTTATGAATGTATCCTCACTCATCCACTGCCATTATAATCGACTGTTTGCTTCCAGCTCTTCATTATCCCAGGCAGGGCTTGAATACACTCACATTATCCCTCTTCAACCTGCACGCCTGTCTGTTTGTGTGTGGTGTGTGTGTGTGTGTGTGTGTGTGTGTGTGTGTGTGTGTGTGTGTGTGTGTGTGTGTGTGTGTGTGTGTGTGTGTGTGTGTGTGTGTGTGTGTGTGTGTGTGTGTGTGTGTGTGTGTGTGTGTGTGTGTGTGTGTGTGTGTGTGTGTGTGTGTGTGTGTGTGTGAGAGTATGAGTCACATCTCAGCTCTGCAGTTCATCGCCTGCGTGCCATCACTGAGGTCATGCGCTCCATAATAAGTGTTTAATGCTCACCTGCGCACCTGCTGTGCATTCACAAAGAGTTTATGTGTGTGAGCGTGTGTGTGTGCGTGTGTGTGCGCGTGTGTGTTTCTGTGCTGGTGTGAAAGAGTTAGACCCTGGGGGTTTGCCTGTGATCGCAATGCAAATTATGATGAACCACAAAACACCCACACACAAAATCAATCGTGTTTCTGCAAGGTATGAGGTGTAAGGGATGTACACCTATACACACACACACGCACGCACCGATGAAACACCCTATCTCAGCGCTGTAACCATAGTGAAGTCAGAACAGGACTGAAAGAAATGAGCAGGAAGGTAAAAGAAAGATTTTTGTGTGAAAGTTGCTCTATAATTCTTCGTCTGAATTTAACAAGCTTCCCTGTCGAATTGAGAAATACAGAACATCAAAGTGTAGCTTTAGACCCAGTGTCACCTCTATTGCGATAAACATCCTCTGTAAGAAGAAGTCATGGTCGGTTTAATAACGACAAAATGTTAGTTGACTCATTTCTTCATGACTCCAGTTAAATACAGCAGTCTGGATTCTAAAGCCTCTCCAGTAAAAGCTCTTTCTATTACTCTGGATTGTCAGTTGAATTATTAAAGGGTCAGCAACATTGTTTTTTTGCAATTCAACTGCAGTCACTGGGATTAAAAGTTGAGTACTTCTAATGGGTTTGTGTGTGATGTGAAACATGCTGCAGCTTTGGGATAAATAAAGCTCAACTCATGTGTTCTGTTTGCTTTGCAGGATCAAGCATGAAAACATTGTGGCGCTTGAGGACATCTATGAGAGTCCGGACCACCTCTACCTGATAATGCAGCTGTGAGTTTTTCTTCTTTTTTCTTTGCTGTCTCTTTGTAATGAAATAGATTCAAACAATTGAATTAGAATATTTGCCTGGTAGGAGAAAGTACCTCAGAAGACAGATTTCTGACATTTTCAACTTTATTCTCTACATTTTTTACTTTTCTCAACATCGAAAAAGAATCATACACCTTCCTCCTGTGACTTCTTGATTCATCATGCATACACTGTAGCACCAACACTGAAAGTGTGACTTTTTTCTCTACATAGGACTTTATTCTCGTAAGGCCTGGCATTAGATTTCCCTGAAATCATTCACGGGGTCCCTGGGACACTTCTGTGCTGAAACTTCAAGTGATTTGGCACATGATAACAAGTTTACGTTTCACAAGCAAGACCACTCAGCCTTTACAAACAGTGGTTTTATGTCTACTTCACCTTTTCAAGCTTTAAAAAAACAATCCTAAGGGTGTCTTGACTTTGTATCTGTAACAGAAACTGGAGGTTTGTAAGAAGTGATCTGGTCTGAAGCTGCTAGTCTTGTTGTCAGATTCTGCCCAACATTCAGTTTGATCAGACCCTTGACGTGTTCCTATACCTCAGTGAAGGTTCAAAGTGGCCATGTGGTGTCCGTTTAGCTCCGTCAGTAGATCAAGCACCAAAGTCCGTGATGCACTGGCCGCAGGTTTGAATCCCGGCCTCAGCCCTTTGTTGCAACTTCCCTCTCTTCTCCCAGCGTTTCCTGTCTCTCTTCCACGATCAAAAGAGGGCAAAATGTCAAAAAAATGAGCTCTAGAGATTAGATGTGGCCTGCATATGAGCTATAACTTTCTAACCATTTTAATATTTTTTATTGTCCTACATTTATTTCAGTGGAAGAGACTTCATTCACCAATTGTTTATTTTACAAATGAGTTGCAATGTAAAGACAGTGATAGTTGTTGTAAGGAAAAGGACACAGGATGTGATGAGGAGTAGACTTCTGAGGAGCTGGACCTGGACAGCGATGAGATGGATTGGAGGTGTCTGGGGTGGAGGAGTGTCCATGACAAATTGTGAAAGAGGGGGCTTTGAAGAGAGCCGTGTTTTGATCCGAGAAAGTCACATAGTAAGCCTTTAGGTCAACCCTTTAGTCACAGTTTGTCATCCACTCTCCTCCACCCCAGACACCTCCAATCCATCTCATCGCTGTCCAGATCCAGTTCCTCAGAAGTCAGAGCTGGCCAATCAGAGGAAAGTGGGCACATGGGGGAGGTGTCCCTTAAAGAGACAGTAGCTGAAATGAAGCGTTTCAGGGGAGAGGCTGACATGAGGGATTGTAATGATGCCAGTATCAGATAAAAAAAAAAAGAAGGTTTTTGAGCTACACATCTCGCAACGATGCTCAATAGGTGTCCCAGACTGACATCATTAATGCTGAAAGTGAGTGTAATAGATCTCCTTTAAGCCAAAAATGGTCTCCACCACAAACTTTCAAGGTTTAAGTAATGTTTAATATTCTCCTGTAATGTTTCTACTCAACATGCGGAGCAGTTTGAATCATCTTCAAAGTGTGCTGAGCTTTTTTTTCAAAGCGTTCAGGTGAAGGGAACTCTTCTGTGAATGACAAGCTCATACCGTCGTTTATTCAGTACGATCAGACTGTTGGGAGTGGCTGCTTTGAGGAGGGAGGACAATGGAAGACTAAAAATCTGTTCACCCCAAGAGATTTTGAGCGGATATTATCATCATTATACATCATTGTTAGAGACAGGAACATGAGGAATTTCCAGCAGGCACATGAGACAAAAGAACAATATCTCACTTGATTGAGTAAGAATTCAACTTTTCTCATCTCAGCTCTATTTAAATTAAAAGTATTTTGCAAAGGGATTTGTTCAAATTAAAATGTTCCTCGAGTTATTCATAAAACACCCTCGAATGAGCCAAGAATTCATGAAACTCGATCTCACACGTATAATCTTATTCTTCTTGCTCGCCCACACAAACACATGCACGCTCTCTCTACAATGACAGCTTCACTGAGATGACATCTCACACACACAAATACACACATAACAAAAAGAAGAAGAAAAAAAGCCCACCCATCCTCCTACACACAAACACACCACGCAGCTACAAGGCCTCTATTATTGTACTTCAGCAGGATCTCTGCTTTGATGGTCAGCTGCAGAAGAGGGAAGCAGGGTGGCCCGCGGCTCACCTAAGGGTGCCCTGCTCACCTCTTGTGAAAAGGTGACGGCTCCTTGCATAAGGGGAGAAGATGTTCAGAAAGTTTGGCAGTGGAATTGGAAACATTTCGCTCGAGTTCAGGTGGTATGTCACGCCCTGTGGATTACACAACCGTGGCTATGTTTACAACCCGATGTCAGAGGATTATCTGCTCGGTGCTGTTACTTGTACACCAACTCAACTCGGGATAAACATAGAAAACACTGAAGCTAATACCTTAATTTGAAATGACAATATTCTGGGCTGCACTTCTGCTAAACGTGGTACTTTCAGTTCTTGAACTGAATGAAATAAATTGATGCTACCAAATGTACTTATCGTATGTAACCATCTAGTTTCTTTATTTAACATTTTCAAAGATGCAGTTGTCATTGGAAAAAAAAAACATGTCATAGCCAAGATTAATGTGGACATTCAAGTTTTCTGTGATCAAGTAGTGAAATGTATGCAGCAGCTGTGTGCAACCGGCTCGAGGGCCATGACTGAACCCGGCCAGAAAACAAAGCATCAAACACAATCTGCACGACTTTCCCCACAATGCAGTAATTAAAGCCAGGTGCACTAATTCAATTAGGGAAATCCTTTGACCTCACTACAAGGAAACCCTACCAAGAACCTTCACAATCACACAACAAGGCACGTTTAGAATCGAAAACGAAACCAGGAAGAGAAAAATCACAAATTACTTACTTGTTTGAACGAGCCCCAAGTTTGTCACAGCGAGCTCAAGGGCCATGGCAAATAAAGGGAGATGAACCAAGATTACACTTAATTCAACTGATTATGTACAACTGTGTGTAGAAATGTCAGGGTGGAATGTCACACAAGCAAATCAGTTACAACACACAATCAAAGCTCACGATGTATGTGGTTACACTGTTACAACCAAAGTTTCAAACATGCAAGAAATTCATCCAACCGGTCAGGAGCAGCAGATTGGACCGTTTTTGGCCCCCTCTACAACAAACAACAAACAACAAACAACAAACAACGCGCGATCAGGAGTACATTCAGCCGACTCTAAAATCAGCCGTGCTACTAAAAAGTTTTGGTCAAAATTGGCCTAAAAATGTCCAGTGCATTGACAGCTGAAGGTGGCAGCTTTCATATCGACTAGAAGCATTTGTCCCAGGTGCTCCCAGTCAGGCGGGTTGGATAGCCACACCCACCAGTTACAGTTACCTGCAACACAAGAGAAAAGAGGACACAACCGAAAAGGGCCGGAGGTCATTGGACCAATAAGCTTCAAGCTGTTTAAAACAAACACATGTTTTATAAAAGAGACAAAGAGCAGATATTTCACAGGCACAGGTTCTAAATTGTTACAGTTTGTCACTTGTTCAGTAGTAACGGTTGTGGGGGGAAACTGGCAGACATGTTAGTGTTGGTGGCAAAGTGTTAGAAACAGTTGAGCAGCAGGCACTTCATTGTGACTATTTTAATTCAGATTAAGTGCTTTACTCGAAACAAATAACCTGCTGAGTGCTGTAGATCTGAGACTTAAGGCATTAGGAATATATATCTTTAAGTTTGTATTAACAGGTAAGTGTTCAGAGTAAGTCTTCAACCAAGAGCCCAGAAAACAGGTTAGATTTACACTTTTAAAAAAAGATGAAGAGCTGTCCATCTTTGCATTTTTAAAGTTAGTATTTAAGGGCCATGTTTGACTTTGTTGGACAGGACAGCTGAAGAGAGACAGGAAATGTGGGGAGGAGAGGGATGACATGATGACATGAAGCAAAGGGCCGAGGTCAGATTCAAACCCACGGCCATCGCAAAGAGGACTACAGCCTCCTTACACGGGGCGCCTCGTCATAACCGCTTTGCAATCCGGCGGCACAATCATGGTTAATTAAAAGAGAAACTACTCAAAACCCAAAATGGTGTGAAAATAACTTTCATGACAATATCGGGTTTTGGTACATTTTGATTTATAGTTTGACTCATGTCCCATATTATAATTGAGGAGGCGGGGCTTATGACCTATCCTTGCTGCCAAGTCAGCAGGGGAGTTCTAAATATAAGGGCTTCACTCCCGTCAGTCTATGTGGCACGAGAAGACTAAAGAATTAGTCATATCTCACACAGAGTAGAGCTTAATCCTGCTCTTTTCAGATGCTGAAATAAGACCTTAAAAGAGCCGATAGTCCAACATGTCTGCTGAGTGTGTTACATCATATGAAATCCCTCCGTCGGCCAGCCTCCAGTAGTCTTATTAAACTGTTTACCTATAACGTTAACCTTTTTAAAGATTTATTTTTGGGGCTTTTTGTGCCTTTAATGCAGAGATAGGACAGTGGATAGAGTCGGAAACCAGGGAGAGAGAGCGGGGAATGACATGCGGAAAGGGGCCACGGGTGGAAGTGAACCCGGGCCTACCGCTTGAGATGAGAGCCTCAACACATGGGACGCGCGCCCTAACCATTTAGCCACCAGCGCGCCCTGATATAACGTTAACCTTTTGACCGGGTTCCCTTGTTGTCTTGAATAAACCGCTTAGCAGACACTTCCTTTTTCCTGGCCGGCTGCCACACACCATTTGTTATGTTAAATACTTTTGATTGCATTACAAGGACGTGATAATCCCTATTTACTCTTTACTTCTCTGTTAAATACACTTCATGTACCTGAAAGGCGTTAATACACTTTACATTGATTCTGGGCTAACAAGGTTACTTAGTGCAGCTTGAATTTCTCTCACTGAAACTTAGGAGAGAGGGAACGAGAGAGCACACTCCTGAGACAATAAAGGAATGTCTGCTCATATTTCAGATGCATATACTCTG